CAAAGATTTATCATTTGTAGAGCATCAAATTGAAAATGGGTAGAAGATCTACGGCTTGCATGGGATTTTTGTTTTATCTTAAGGGGAATTTCAAGCATTTCCACAAGCTAAAAGCATTTTCTCTATAAATAGAAATGGAAAATCTATAATCCACCTATTAATGCATAGTCTAGTGGAATTTATCGATATATAATTTCTTGCACAAATTGTGTACAGTTTGCATGCGAGCAAATTTCAAGAAACTCCCTACTTCTAGATCGTGTTGTATTCCGGGAAATATAAAATTTAAAAAGTTTTTTTTATATGGTAGATAGGTCTTACCCTCCAGTAAACGCTTCAGCTCCTGCGTTGCCTCCTTCTGCCGCTCGGGCGTCTCGCGCAGCTCGCGAGCGGCAACTTCTTTGGCCGCAGCTGAGGGTTCGCCCAGTTCGAACTGCAGCGTAAAGTCGCCCAGCTTGATCGAGGGCAGAGCTTCGATCTCTGACAACATGGTGGGCACTCCTATATGAAAGATATAGAGAGAGACAGAGAGAGGTACAGAGATGAGTATTATATGACAAATTGTGCACGTAACGCGAAGCGTGTTTACATGGAAGCTGCGCTTAGATCCCCTAGTAGTTGAACAGCGAAACTCAATTATTTGCTTATGTAAGGCCCCATTAGAAAAATACCATATATATACATATTTATATATATGTATATAGCTTTTAATCATTACTTACTCATTTTGCAGCAATTGTAATTGTTTTCGCTGTTGTTGTTTAGCTATTGTTCAGTTTAATCTTCTCTTTCTGCTAGCCTTTAATTATTGCATTAATTCTCTGGTTTTGCTTTGTGTCTGATTCGCTAAATGTCGGATTATGCAGTTTATTAATTAACTTGTTTTATATACTATATCGATATACAGACAACCGGCTTGCGATTCGATTCATTGAATCATTGCATTGCAGGCCAATGCGTTCCGATTCGGCTTTCGGCTTTGTTAAGTCTAACCTTAACCTTGACATTCGCCTTTGGCATGCTAATATTGAAAACTTTATAACGGATGCTGCATAACGATAATTATTAATATTATCTATATTTCGATCGATATATCTTTAGCTTGCTGTTTCACTAACATTGAGATTAGAATGCATTTGCCATGAAGATCTTGAGCTAAATTCTCGAATTGAACTCGTTCTACTTGATTTAATTTAAGCTCAATATCTATTGAAACAAGTTTTTAATAACCGATTTACGTACATCAATGAGTCTAGAATGGAATCGATTCATATTATTTAGAAAAATAGCAAGACTAGTTAAGAACAGATCGACAGATTAAATAAAAAATATTTAAACTAAATTACAGATGGGAATTAGCGCAATTAGATGACTTCGAAATTATCTGAATGAATCGCAAACCGATCGAGCGTGAGCATGCGTGCGCAGCTGATTATATAGGACTGCTAAGACAATAGCAAATTATGGGATGTTTCGAGATGTTTCACGTTTTTTTTTTTTTCTTTTTTCCTTTTTTTGCAAGAAACAACAATTTATTGAATGAATAGTTAATGCGTGAACCAAATAATCGTATAATTTATATAGTACACACAGCAAAACACAACACAACACAAAAGTTTGCCCAAAAACGTAAAACTTGTTTTGGGAGCTGCAACAAAATCTGTGATAAAGCTTAAGAAGAAGCAACTGACGACGCGTGTAACGGAGCCGAAAGAGCAGACGAAACTGTTGTGGCCAAAAGCGCGCTACGAAGATTTTATACCAAGCCAAGAATCACAAACTGGAAACTCGATGAGCGGGAGTCAGAGCGAGAGAGAAGAACAGAGAGAAGGCGTATGGTTGTGTGTGTGTGTGTGTGTGTGTGTGTGTGTGTGTATGAGCGCGTCTAAGTGTGTTTGATGTTGAACTTGAGCATGACATTCACGTGCGAGCGAGTGAGTGAGGAGCAAGTGCGTGCGAGCAAATGAGACAGAGAGAGGAGGAGAGCTTAAAGAGAGCGCATTAAGAGATGCAAACCAGAGAGGCTAATAATGCATTTGGGAAATTATGCCATCGAAAGCTGGTTTTCATTGCGGTTCGCTCAAGCTATCGTTGACGTTGTTGTTGTTCTTGTCGCTGATGACGGACATGGTCTTTCCCGCAGCATCTGCTTGAAGCACTTTGCTCATTTACAATGCGAAAAGGCCTGGGTGACCCTCAGGCATTGTACTTTCGGATCAATGCCAGCGCGATATACCCATATGTACGGCAATTAGCCATTACCTAGTAATTACACCTGTTTGACAACATTTCCATTGCTCATTGTGTATGGCCAACACGTTTCGGCATGGTACAACTTGTTTCGGACGCTTTTTGGACTAATCGACACCAACACGTGCGAGGCACCCCCTCGAGTTACACCTTCTTCCATTCATTGGCTGTTGTTGAGCGTCAGACTCTCGGTTTCATTTGTGCGCTCACAAATGAGTTTACTATACGATGAAGATTTGAAATATGTGTATGTATGTATTTTGCGTACACTCGTTATCAAAGATGACCTATTAATAGTTGGCATACATACATATGTACATACATACATATGTGTGGGGGCGTAGATGGCAAACAAAACTGCGCTGAACTGGTTTATTTTTCCATTTTGGATTCATATGAATCAGATTTGAACTCATAAAGCGTTGCACAAAAGAGTGAACTTTTTTAAGCAAACCTAATTAAGGACCGCGGCTTAAATAACTCCACATACCTCATGTATAGTTATGAACTAAATTATTAGCACAGCAACTTAAACTTTTTTGGCAACTTTTTGAATCTCTTTAAAATTTTATCTAATAAACCTAATTGAATAATAAATTACTTTAGAAATATTTGGCGAAAAAAAAAAAAAACATTTTACATATTATGAATAAAATTTTTTTGTTTAGTTCAATATTTAGTCAATTACTAGAAAATAATTTACACGGATAAAAGCTACTTCTATAGTTTCAAATTTTTTGCAAAACTTTTATAAAAAAAAAAAAAACAATCAAATTTATAATAAAATTATTTTCAACTTGCAAAAATGAACTGAGAATAGATACATAAATTATTTTTAACATATTGTTGATAGAAAATCTTTTTAAGTTCAACATTTTGTGCAGCTTTAATAGTCCCACTATAGAGATGTAGTATCCACTTTTTAACTTCAGAACAAAACGGGTTAAGGGGAAAAATCCATGGCCATCAACTTGATGATCGTTGAGATAGTCGATGTCAAGCAAGTCAGTCTGAGGTCAGAAGTCTTGGCAAAAATAAAATACAATTAAAATTGTATTCATTTAGTTGGGTAAATGGACAAGGGCAAGCCCAAGTCCAACCTAAAAAGTGCTTTAACCTTACGTGCCAAAAACGCATTACAAAAGTTTACAAAAAAAATAAAATAAAATAAAGCGTGCGAGCAATTGTGTTCGTGTGCACACACACATACGCACAAGTGTACACAAATGCATGTCTGTGCTTGTACAGCCGCCTTACCTGATTCAATAGAGACACCGTCAGAAGCGACAGCGGCAGACGCGCAGCCGGCTACCGTTGTCCTAGGCAGGCAGCTTGTTGCAGTTGCCATATTGATTTAATAAAATAATTTTCAGTTTGATTACACAGCACAAATAGCGCTAAATGCATTTGCCGTTGCACTCGAACAGGAACCGCTTCACAACGTTTAACTGGATGTGTGTCAATGCCAAACGTTTATTGAACTTTTCTCGTTCATCGTTCGCTTGTTTCGTTTCATTTTATTTTCGCACACAGCGACACAATTGCAGTGGCCCTCCTACAGTTGCCAACGCCAATAACAACAAGAACCGTTTCGAAAAGAAATGCAAAAGGAACAGTGAGCGTAGTTTTACAGTGATGGCAACTTGTTGTAGGAGAGCTGCACTTGTTGCTCTCTCGCTCCCGCTCTTGTTTTTGCATTTGCGCTCGTCGTTAGGCAAAGGTCAACCACAAAAGAAACACGAAAAATTAAAATAGGGCGCGAAAAGTGTAACGAAACCAAAACATAATGAAACACAATGTGTACGCATCAACGACTTAAATAACTGTAATAGTAATAACAGTATTTCAAAATGAAAAACTCACCTTAAATTAATAGACGTATAGCGTAGTTATTCCAAAGCTCAAAGATATGATATCCTTTGATTGCGTATTCCACTCTGATGTACTGCAGTTTTCTTCAATTTTGTATCTCCGTCTAAGCTAGGTCTATGTCTGTCTTAACACACTTAAGCACTGAAAATATAAGGCTGCTCATTCAACAGTTTTATACCCCCATATGTGTAACGAGCCGGTAGTTAAGAAGTGTGTGTAGATAACTATATATAATTTTAAAACTATACATACATACACACGCACACAAAAACAACTGAAACTAACAAAGCAAGCGATTAATTATGGCAACTGTCAGCAAGTTGGAAAGTGCATGCTTCGTTGGCTGTTATACACTTGGTTACTTTGAAATGCGCTCTGTTGTTGTTGCTTTCATTATTGTTGTCGGTAATATACAATGGAGAAATGCAAAGAATACTGCACCAGGGTTAAGGTTAATTTCAAGCACATTTATGTGCATACGTACGTATGTAACTATGCATATGTATATGTACACATGTATGTAGTTGTTTCGGCTTTTTTAAAGTTACATACATATGTACATATGTATATACAAGCGTAAAACAAACGTTTATGAACTGTTATATGTTTAGGTCAGACAATTTTTAAATTGATACGCGTATTGTTATACACCGTTAGCATCTAAGAACTGATAATCAATACGCATATAATGCATTACTTTAGTTCAGTGCAATCAGGCTCTTTTAAATTTGTAAGAACTGTTATATGCTTGCTATGATCTTAGCTCAGCGTAATCAAGCTTTCTATAAATTGTTATATGCATTTAGTTATACGCCCCGAGCATTTAAAAATTGTTATATGCCTGATAATATTTCACCCTAGTGCATTCATTCGAGTTGAATATAGTTGAACTTGTGACCACTAAATAACAACCTATGTGCCGATTATATACATATGTTTGTATATGTGTGTGGTTCAGCTGACACATAACCAGTATTAGATTAAGATGTAAGTAACACACATATATACATATATACGTATGGAAATATATGTACCTATGTACATATATATATATAAGACACTGTAAATCTGAGAAAACGGCTGCCATGCGCTCGATATGAATCGTACTAATTAATCGCACTTTGTATTGGCCACTTTTAAGTTTTAATGTCTGTTACTAATTCATAGTTATAACTTAAAAACTATATACGAAAAGCTACAAAATTCAGCAACGACGACTTTGCGTGTCGACGTTCAATCGTACAACTGACGATAATGCAAACTCATTGGTCGTACGTTCAGGCCCAACCAATTAATTAAGTATAGTGCCTGAAATATAATTCCATTTCAATTTCGCTTTCTGCTCTACACCCAAAGTGCCTCAGCGTCAGTCCGGCAAACAGACAGACAGACAGACAGATAGACAAGGCAGGCAGGCACGCAGTCTTCTAGTCAACTTAGTCAATGCTAATGCTCGTGCTACGTCAGCTTATAAAGTTCAATGGAATTTCGCATCGACTGTTGCCGATCGAATTCAGCGGCTTTGTAACTTTAAGCGAAATTGACTTGGAACAAAATACGAAACACAGAAAACCAATATTTATAGCTATTTGCGTGTGTGTTTACATTGATATATATGTATATCGTATTCGTACATATACCTGATGGTCAATCGACGGGTTTAATCGATTTGCCCGTTGCATGCCACTAATCACTTACGGACAATCGTTGATGGAGACACTTGTTATAAAAACTTGATATGGATAACATGGATTTACATGTATTTGACTTGATGATGAGTTTTTCAGTTTCAAGTGCCAAGAGCTGACATACATACATTGCGAGAGTCAAATAATATCATTACACTTACACATTAAATTATCCCTAAGTATCTAATTGGTAGTTTCGTTCAAGATCTGGTATTGTCAATACTTAAATATGTACCTATATATATAAATATGTATGCATATTGGAGTACAATTTACTAGATGAATAATATTGTGCTTTAAAAAGTGTTACAATTGCTGCTAAATATTGCTTACGTAACTCTAGGAAAGCGTTATCGAGTGTTAATGGTATGACTGACTTATACTAACTATATATGTACGTGATAATATAAAAGAATAATCAATATGTCAATGATATTCAATGCTAAAAAGTCTTAGTGTCTTTCACGAATTTGTTTGCTTTTAAGTACAGATCAGATCTAGAAAAGCTATATACATATTTTAAAAATATAATTATATTATAAACAGAAAGAAACTGTTTCAACCTGCAATACTAAAGCCTTTACTTCGGCAGTAACTTGTCCAGTTTGGTTCGGTGTTTGCCCTTACTGCCCTTGGCCTTCCAGGACAATCATTTTGGTCGTATTTTTTCGTACATAAACTGCTGCAGATGTTTGTTATCGGGCTGCATCAGCTTCTTCTTGGTAAATTCGAACTGTGCCAGTGCAAACTCGTATAATTCGTTTTCCATTTGCCAAATCTTCGATCTCTGTATGGTCTGTATGGTAGACTCATTGGGCGGTAACTTCGATGATGTCACCCGTAAATGAGATTTGTTCGAGTTTTGATAGTGCTCACGGAAGCCTTGGAAGATTCTGTATATAAGAAAAAAATGTAATTCAAGTGGATTAAAATGAATGGCAAAGCAATTCCTATTTACCTTGGCAGTGATTTCTCAAGCAGATCTACAAATTCGTACATTTGCTCGGTGACACCGACCAGAAAATATTCGTTGACCAAATTGCGTTTGGCCTGCTTCAAGGCCCAATCGCTGCCGGGTTCCCAGCACTCAGCAGCGTGGCCACAAAAGAATGGAATTTGCAGCCACATATTTTTGGGATCACAGTCGGGTTGTTTTTGAACCACGCACTCATCGAACGTCTGCATTGAAAATGTTTATATTTAAATTTTAAAAATAAATTTATATTTTTTTGTCAACTCACAATTTTATTGCCAGCCTTCTTGCGCACGAGATTCGGGCGATAATTGTCGCCAAAGCGCAGAAAATAGTAATAGGACACAAGTCTGTCGAGTGGCTTGCGCACCAGGTTTATATAGATGGGCTTATGTGCTATTTGAAATCTGCAATATTAATAGATGTATAGCGAGAGATATAGAAGATAAATCATTTTTGAAAAACGTACTTGGAGAAATCCAGAAATGCCATGTGTCCATGATAGAGTGCCGGCTTCATTTCATGCCACTTGGTTACATTTCGCACAAAGGATATCTAATAAAGAAACAAGACTATAAACCCGCTATCCGGCTATCCATGACGGCATGTTGTCGACGCACCTGATTTGGCAACGATAGGACATGCATATTTGCGGTCACATTTATATGCAGGACATGGTATCTGTTCTGTTTGCACAGATCGTAGGCTATGTTCACGAAACTGGTTGAGCCAGTCTTTGGCACACGATTGTATAGCACCACCAATTGCTCCTCATAATCAAAGCCATCGAACGTGGGAATAGTACGAGTGAGAGCTGCTTGGTCCGCCACTGATTGCTTGCCACTGTTGCCCGTGAGTTTAGACAGTGGCTTAAAAGCTGTGTGTAAATAAATATATTGTTTTTGCTTAATGAAGTGGAACGTAGTTAAAAAACGCACCACGATCCAATCGAATCTCCAGCAGAAAATAACAGGTGACAACTGCGACACAGGACAGCACGAGCCAGTGCACCGGGCGCATCGCAGGCAATATTTTGCGGAGTTTCTTATACATGTTGCTGCCGGCTTAAGCAAACGTGTTCCTCAATGAATTAGAGCGCTACAGCACATTCTTTGACAAATAGTTTATTCTATTTTAGTGTTATTCTGGTGCATTTTGTTTTTTTTCGTGATAAGGTGCTGCCTACAATGTTGATCCGCACACAAAAAAAACAGCTGTCTTACTAGTGATGTGTAACGTTCAAATAGATGATGTGAGCAGTTATCGCTTAATACGTTGGTACTCGTTGGTACTCGTGCGTGGTAAAAAATGTACCAAAAATGATACATGATTATGTCGATTGTGGTTTGCTTCATACAAATTTTGTTGTTCTAATTTATCTCTTAAAAATCAATAATTATAAAATGTATTTTCTTTCAACTAGATGAATTATATTTGTTGAATTCGCGATAGTTTTCGATTGTACCGATAAGAATCGAATCCACTTGCAAAACAGCTGATAGCTCATCATAAAAAAGACGCTTGATTTTTGTTAGTAAACTAACGAAAAAACAATATAAATTGCACACTAGAAACATAAAAAATGTCTTCAGCTATATATTTAGAAAATTATTTAGACGGTATGTAAAAAATGTGAAATAAGATAAAAGTGCTGTAATGCAGATGTAAATAATGTTTATCATCAGGCTTGGAATCGCTGCCCACCGAGCTAGAACGGAACTTCAAGTTGATGAGAAAATTGGACGATCGGGCGCAAACGGCTATGAAAAGCATCGATAGCCATGCGAAAGACTTCATGCGCAAGCTAACCGCAGAGAATGGAGCAATGAGCGAGGAAGAGCGCAAGGAGCGTCTAGAGGACATTAAGGCGCTGTTTGGCAAAGCCAAGGAATACAGTGATGATAAAGTGCAGCTGGCCATACAAACCTATGAGCTAGTGGACAAACAAATCCGAAGACTTGACAACGACTTGGCCCGCTTCGAGGGAGAGATCCAAGAGAAGGCCTCCTCAACACGCGCCAAATCCGAAGAAGTGGTCGCCAAAAGTACGTAACTCGCTTGAAACTGTTTTATGATCTTGGAACTAATTTGTAATTTGCAGAGGCTGGCCGTAAAAAGACCAAAGATGGCAAGGCGACGGGTAAAAAGAAAAGGCCAGCCTCCTCGGATGAGGAAACTGGGCGCGGCAATCAATCGAACAGCGGCAGCGGGGCTAATCTAAATGCTAGCAGCAGTGCTGGTCAAGGTAGCAAAAAGAAAAAGTCCAAGGTAAATCAAGAAAAAGAAACCCGCAAGGGGGCAGCACAAAAGGTAAATCATCCTTCATCAACATTATGCACATTTTGTCTCCTTACGTTTGTTACTCTTTCCTCAAAACTATTTAGTTGTTGTTGTTATTTTGCCTGGTAAACTACACAGTAGCAAAAAGACGCTGGATTGCCTCCGTCCCATATTCCTGTAAAGTGTATTCCTTTATTTACCGTTTTGTTTTGCATCTTTCATTTACATTTCACCTCCTTGCATGATCACTTACTAGTCTAATCTCTCAACAAGCCTTTGCCAAAACTCATATCCATTTGCTCCACCACCTACAGAAAGCCGTGGATGTGGATGACTCGGAAAAGGATTCTTGCCACACGGCCGCCACACATCCCAGCGACGTCATGGACATGCCTGTGGATCCCAATGAGCCAACATATTGCCTGTGCCACCAAGTATCGTACGGCGAGATGATTGGCTGCGATAATCCAGATGTGAGTGAAGAGAGTGACAGATTCCATTGAATGCAATATTCCTTAATTTTTGTATAATTTCTCATTCTTCTCAGTGTCCCATTGAGTGGTTCCACTTTGCCTGTGTCGGCCTTACCACGAAGCCGAAGGGCAAATGGTTTTGCCCCAAGTGCACGCAGGACCGTAAGAAGAAGTAGACAACGTTAACGGCAGCAGCAGCTACTATGTAAATAATATACATATACGGCCAATTAGTAAATAGTTTAGCATAAGTATTGTGTACTTTAAATAAATAACTTTCAATTTCATATAAATTGCTAACTGTGATTATTACTGGCTCGTTGTTATCAGTTTATTTAATCGTCTTTTATTACAGTTTCAGTTTTTCATTGGCGCCTCTCCACGGTCGATTTGTACAATAGTTATTAAATTAATTATACTTTAAATGTCCATAAAATAACATTTCACAATTAGTTCAGAATTATATATAAAAGCCTAATATACATATTTATCTTCATAGAAATCAATTAGTCATTTATCATTGATTTAAAAGTAGAATCGCAACATCATTCATCCTTAACATTCCCTGAAAAACTGTTGCGAATATGTGTTTGCTTTAATTTATTGTTCCTAGAGCTAGGTCTGATCGCATATAAATCGGCAAGAATGCGACAACTTTCTTGTGGATGATTCGTATCAAGGTATTTAATATCTACGATTTGCGAATAGTACAGATTAGCTATAAACTCACATCGGAACTAAGCTCAAAACAATCAATTCCAATAAATATTAAATACAATGTTGAATGTTCTAGTTGCCTTAAACCATGGTTAACAGAAAATAGGGGGACGGGGTCGGGATCGGGACTCTAAGGACATATGCAATTTTCAAGATCACCATCATCATCATCGTATTCGTCTGTGGTTATGTGCGTTCAGATTTTGCTACTTCAGTTACTGTCGCCTACTTTTTGGTCATTATCTTAAGGTACTCCAGGGCATTCTGAGCGGCATGTCGCTGTGCCTCCGAAGCCGTTGATCCAGTGCCATGGCAGACGCCGACTGGCAACGTGGACAACTGCACCAGGCACTGAAACTGGCTGCTAAAAGTCCTCTCCTCAATATCCACATAGGTTACCTCGAACTGGTTCTCGGCAGCAATATCTGAAAGCAGCTTGATGTAGTCAATCTTTGAGCTCTTCAGGCAAGTCTTCTGTAAGCACAAAAACAAAACGAAACAACAAACCTAAAATTAACAACATGGAATCGCAATTATGGTCGAGTTAAATGCATTGTGGGAGTTCGAGTTCCATGGAAGCGGCGCAAGTGTCGTAGGATCTGGGCCACTCATTGATTTACCTGTAATTTAAGCAGTTTTTTGCCCGTCGCATTTTTCAATGTCTTATGGAACTGGGACACTTTATTGCTGTGCAGCGTGGTCAGTGTCGGCACAGTGATATCTTTCAAATCACCATAATATTGATCGTTAATGCGGGCCTGGAAATAAGAGCGCAACATTTCCATTTAATTACGCACAGACTCTCGCCAGATGGTGACTTGAAATATATCACTCAAGTCGGACTTGAAATATATCACAAATGTGTCAAAATTAAAAGTGTGCGCAGAGACCAAACAACAAACAAACAATAATATTTAAATAAAAGTGCATGCCAGAAGTAGTTTGAGCTCAACTGAGACAATATATATGTATATCTCTGATATTACATTGAAATTGGAAAAAAAAAAGAATTTACAAAAATACAAAACTTATTTGTTAAATCAGGCAATAATAGATGGGACTTGGAGCCCGCAGATTAATAATTCTTAAAGCTAAATTTTACAAACAATAAAATCACATTTGTATTGCAGCTCAAAATTGACAGCTTAACTAATTGATGATATTGTTTATTCCCAAAAGGGGCTCCAAAAGGAATTAGCTTAGGCTTCAACCGGTAATTGGTTAATCGACCAAATTGTCGAGTTAATTGCAGAGTTTCAGGTTCAATTTAACAGTAACAAACATTAGCAAGTAATAAGTAAGCACCGGAACCAAACGAATTCAAAAAAACAAAATAAAATAAAATAATAAATAATGTGAAGGCACAGCAAACAGATTAGGGATTGTCAGACGGCAGACAGCAGGAAATTCAGTTAGTTAGCTAAAAGTTATCATCACTAAATATCGGTTATATTCAAAACCGGTGAGATGCGCTTGTAGAAGCGACTCGGCTTTACACTTGTTGCCTGGTCTACCGGCGGCAGCTGAGACTGCTGCGGCTGCTCTGTTGGATCTACAAGCGATAAATTACTCACATCGCCCTCCAGTTCGCCGCAGATGCTCTCATTGATCTTGGCCGCATCGATGGGCGTCTCCTGCAGGCGCGTCCACATCTTGTGGGCGGCCAGGCGCTTCGCTATCTTCTTGCTCTTGCCCTTGCCAACCTCATGGTAGTTCAGTATGGTGCAAGCGATCGTGAATAGTCGCTCGTGCGGTAGGCCGACCTCTGTCTCTGTCTCATATGATGGCGGCGGCCAGCGACGCTGCATGCACATCTCCTGCAGCCAGCCAATGGGATTACCCACAATCTTGTCGCCGCCACTATTATAGAGATGGGATGGGAGATAGATAGAGAGGGAGAGAGATGGAGATGGAGATGGTGGGATTTCAATGGGAAACAGAAAAACAAAAAATTACAAAGAAACGAAAATTGCATATTAAAAACTATTTAAATTGACAAATTTTGCAACAAATAATTACTCGCCACTGCCAGTGAGATTGGCATTGCCATCGCCCCCACTGCCCGCCATAGAGCAACCAACAGCGGCTGCTGCAGCGGCTGCTGAATTGCCCTGTGTCTCGAGCTGTACGCCGATGAGCTTATCAATCAGGGCGCGAGCGGCCGCGTGCTTGGCCTCCTTTTTGGAGCGGCCGGCGCCCATGGCTGTGAAGGGTGTGTCCTTGTCCTTGAACGAGACCCGAAACCGAAACGTTGGCTCGTGTATGGCCCCCTCGATCTGGACCAGCTCGTAGCCCGGCGTGATGCCGCGCCGGCTTAGCAGCTCCTGCAGTATGCTAACGGGCGTCTTCATGGCTAGCCCATTGGCATCCGTGTCGTTAACAAACTTCATCGTCTCCTCAGTCGGCAGCATACCGGTGCTGCTTGTGCCGCTCAGCTCCGACAGATGTTGCTGTTGCTGATGCTGATGCAGCGCCTGCAGCTGTTTCTCCTTTTTCATTTTCGGACGCTGTTGCATTGCCGCCGGCTTGCCCATCGAATTGCTGCCACCGCCAGCAGCCCCATTGGACAAACAGGCAGCCGCAATGGCAGCAGGCGAATTGCCCATGTTGTCATATTGACGACGCGGCGCAAAGCCCGCTTGCATGGGCATCTGCTGCTGTTGCTCCTGCTGTAGCTGCTGTTGCTGATGGAGGTGTTGCAAATGCATCTGCTGTTCGTACAAATGTTGCTGATGCTGTTGATGCTGGTGTTGATGCTGTTGCTGTTGTTGATGTTGCTGTTGTTGTTGCTGTTGCTGCTGCTGGTGGTGGTGGTGTTCGTGGGCATGGTAGCTTTTTGGTTCCATATTTAACGTGATTAATAGACTTTGTGTATCTGCAAGTATTTGCAACGTTGCTCGGAAAAAATCAATAAGTTCTAAATAAAACCGCAACTGGCGGTATCAACCACAAATTTCACTGGAGCCACTACTTACGGTTTGTTGATGGTTTTGTGCTGTTTTTTATTTAATAATAATTTATTAATTGTTTATTAATAATTCATTCTTAAATAAAAAATACAGCAAAATCCAGACGCACACACGATATCTACGTATATATGTATTTGTGATGCTGCTGTTGCCGTATTTATTGAAATTGACAGCTTGCCCTGTGGCAACGCTGTTCTGCTCTAATTCCGAATGTCAAAAGATAGGGAAAAGCAGCGCGTCATTTAAAATTTTCAAATTAACATGGGTTTTATTATTATTATCGCAAATGGTTGCTACATAATCGTTTTACATTATACATATATATATATTTTTTTTTAATTTGTATAATTAATGCACGGTAAACATTCGTTCAATCAAATCAAAAGTGAATGCATGCGTTGTATGTGTGTGTGTTGGTGTGTATGTGGAATTTGTAGTGATTGATTCTGCAATATCTAAAGCGTTTTGCTGAATCAAAAAATAATTTTCGATACTTCTAATGCATATTATCAAATAGAGCTCTCGCATCTAATCATCGCTCAGAAAGTCATCATCAAGATTAACATCTGTCGTATCTATGTTGTCGTCCAACGTAATGCCATCAATCTCCAGATCCAAATCATCATCATCGTCCTCATCATCGCCGACAGCAGCTTTGGCTGGAGCAGCGGTAGCTTTAGTGCTAGCTGCTGCTGCTGTTGTCGCTGGCAAGGATGCAGGCACAAACGGCGGCTTCTCCTTCTCCAGTTGTAAGCCGCCGCTTTGCTGCTCAGCCGCATTCAGCTCCTCAAGTGGATTGCGCTCGCTATTCAATGGCAACTGTGCAGCTAGACGGGCTGGCGCTTTGCGTGCTCGCTCCTCGGCCAGAAATTGCTCTACGCGCAGCGCATCGCCCAGGCCCGGAAAGAGATTTGTATACTGCGTGGGATCGGCCAGCGACTGGCCCGCCTTCTCGTTCACCTTGCCCAGCTCCTCGCGCCAGAGTTCGACCACACGCGACATTTGGCTGGGCAAGTAGGTGCGCGCGAAGAACGCCGCCTCGGGCAGGCGATTGGTTTCAATGAGAATCTCCAGGCAACGCTCCACATCTGAGCGAAGGAAGGCGGAGAGGAATGCAATATTATGGCGGCCTTGTGCCGAGCTGGTTGCTCCCACCTCCTCCAGCATCTGTGCATCGCCCGAGGCAGTCGAGAGCAGCAGCAAACCACTAAAGTCGTTGGCTTTCTGCATGCACTCCTTCACCAAGGCCATGTTATTCCGGCGCGAGGCAACATCTGCTAGCTGTGTCCACTTCTGTGAGTTTTCTGCTTCGCGCGCCAGCTTGAGGGCAATCTCTAGTTCGCCAATTTGCAGAGCCAAGTCGAATTTGTGGTCCGGATCGGTGGAGACCTGCAGTGCCTGCTCCTTGAAGCCCTGCTTCTCTAGGAAGTGGGCCACGCGAGTACGATGCTCCTTTGGTATGGTGGGCAGCACCAGATCAGCGCGCTCAAAATCGCGACGCATCACGGCCGTCTGGTACTCCAGGACGGACAGCTGCAGGCAGAAGCTAATTACATTCAGTTCCTTATCGCCCAGATACAAGCGATTGTCCTTGGGCACATAGCCCAGCAAGTACATGGTGCGATCCAAATGCGAGATGGTCACAATCTCTCCGCCTACATAGTAGTTGATGCGATTCACGGAATTGGTGTATATGAAGCAATCGCCCACCCACAGGCCAGTTTTCACAGATTCAGATACTTCGCCTGGAATATAAGATCAAAAATTTAAATTAATTTGTATATCAAATAATAGTAATTTTAATAAATAGCAAGCCGCGTAACACTCGTAATTGCTGGCTTACCGAGCACATTGAAAGCGCTTTCCACGCCATCATCCTCCAGTCCCTCCTTTGTCTCCAGCGCATTGGCGATTTGGGCAGTGTCCACGCCCAATATGAAGTAGGAGTCATCGGTTGCCAGGCAAACAAGAGTGCCGCTGTCGTTCCAGAAGACGTTACGTGGTTGCACCTCGATGCGGCGCACCAGCTGCAGCGACTCCCAATCGTAGAAGGCCAGACCCGACGAGGTCTTCACGCCAAAGTAGTAGCCGCCATAGATGCTCTCGGCGCCATACTCGGGCGTGAAGCTCTTGCGCTCCTTGAAGTTGCGGAACAGACGCACAGTGCCATTGCTCTCGCGAATGGCATACTCGTTGCTCTCCAGCGCCCAAACGAACTCCTGGGCCGAGCCAAAGGCTTTGTTGCGCAGCGCCATGGACGTATATATGATGTACTCGCCATCACCACAGACGACCACAAAGCGGCCGTTGGGATTATGTGCAATGGTCTGCGGGTAGATTTCGCAGGCGCCCATGTCCTTGACGGCGACGGGCAGACGCTCGCCGTCCTTAATCTCGGTGCCATCCGCAATTGTTTTCAGATTGACCTGCAAATTGCCATAAATCAGTTTTTGTTTCAACTTTGACCATTGCCATACTTAACCTGTTGCATTTCGGAATGTTTGGCCCATATGATCTTGCCGCCCACCACGTCCATGGACATGGCCGGTTCCTCGCGGCCGACTTTGATGATGATGGAGCCTTCATCATAGCCCAGGGCAACATTGTTGGTGCCACGCATGCTGGCAATGGTCCATACGCGCTCGAAGCCGTAGTTCAGACAGGTCTCCAGGCGGTAGGTGCCCGAGTGCCAAATCCTGACGGTGCCATCTTCAGAGCCGGTCAGCAGGATTGGCAGTTCGGGATGAAAGCAGACGGCCGAAATGTTTTGTGCATGTCCCTCGAGGGTTTGGACACAGGTCTTGTTCTGATAATCCCAGATCTTGACTAAGCGATCGTCGGCGCCCGAAATCAAATACGGCTTGTCTCCGCCATGATAATAGTCCACACAATTGACGCCCTTCTCGTGGCCTTCCAACGTAAAGTTTGCAAAATTTGAGCCCAGCTGCCACACCTTAACGGTGCGATCCAAGGATGCAGATGCAAAGGTGTTATTATCCTTGGGATTAAACACGATCTGCATGACATAGTGCGTGTGGCCCTCAAAGACGCGCTGACAGGCCCACAACTTCTCCCAGTTCCACAATTTGATAAGCATATCATCTACAAGGTGATGAAATCAATTATGAGATATACATATAGATATGAATCTACGTGGACAATTTGCTAAATATATTTATCAGATAATGATAAAAGCGATTACTAATTGTCTAGCGTAGACTCTACAATTTTATACCGAATGTTCACCTAACCAAATGGAGGTCAAGCGATTGTTTGTTTATGATTTTCTATTGAAGACTAGGGAACATTATCTATTGGCGAGTTCGACTCTTGACAATTTGGAAACATACCGCTGCTGGTCAGCACCAGGGGCTGTGTGGGATGCACGGCAATGCAGCGCAGATAGTCCGAATGCGCCTCGTAGGAATGGACCTTCTCCAGTGTGTTGTAGTTGAAGATGCGTATTTGCATGTCGTCCGATCCAGTAATTATCCAATTCTTGCGTGCCACGAATCGCGCGGAGCGCACTGGCACATCACATACTTCGAAATCTTTGACCAATTGCTGATTCTCGTAATTCATGATGTGTACGTGGCCATTGTATAGGGCACACAACATCCATGGCTCGGCCGGATGCAAATCAACGCACTTGACGCGGTCCGAGCGCGACGTCAGACGACGCTTGATGTCCAATTTGAGGGGCATCTTTAGATTGACAGTGATTTGTGTTCAATAATATCCTACTACAGTCAATCCAAATAAAATACACTGCGGCGAGATTGTAAAAACTTGCTGCTGCTTCTTCTTCTGCCTCTTGTTAATGTGTCAGAGTGTGGACTAGTGTTGCCACCGGCCACGTATATTTGACAGCGCTGCATTTTGTACTCGATTTGTCATAGTTTACGTTTATGCGGACGCACGACTTGAGCTTGTTTAGCAAATACTTCACAAAAGTAATAAGTCAATGAGTTATGTATCACATAAATATATTTATATTTATAAAATATTTTTATTTTCGATGCATTGTTTAGTTACATACACTTGCAAATTAGAACATTTTAAATATTTAGCAACTGACGTGTAAACCTAAACTGTGCCCTAAGCAAAAGACTTTAATGTGATATGGCAACGCCATACCTAACGCTGACGTCTTCATTGGCATTTTAAGTTTTAGATTGTTGGTCTATTAAAAAAAACATAAAAGAAAATGAACTTATTATATTAGTCAAACATCTTAAATATATTGTTAAATTAGCTAGTTACTCGTATTAAGTTTAAAGGTAAAGCATTATGTTAACAGACCGGCAATTTGGCATGCAACTTGCACTGCTGATTCTTCTGCTGGCACTTGTTGCCGCCAAATCGAAAATATCTGCCGTGCGGGAAGACATTGCAGACTATAAGGATTATAAGAAGTTGCTGCGCACCAAGAACAATATTCTCGCGCTCTACGTGTCTAGCCCTAAGGAGGCTGCCGCCGAGTTGAAACTGTTCCGGGAAGCTTCAGATGGAATACGCGGTACAGGAACAATGTTGTACGTGGATTGCTCTAATCAGGAGCGCAAGAAACTGTGTAAGAAGCTCAAGGTGACGCCTAAGCCGTATGTACTGCGTCACTACAAGGACGGCGAGTATCACAAGGACTATGATCGTCAGCTGACCGTGGAATCCATGATCACCTTCATGCGCGATCCCACCGGTGATTTGCCTTGGGAAGAGGATCCCGCTGGTGCCGATGTATTGCACTTTAATGACGGAGCTTCATTTACGAAACACCTCCGCAAGGATATTCGGCCTATGATGGTTATGTTCCATGTGCCCTGGTGCGGATTCTGCAAGCGCATGAAGCCTGACTACAGCAAAGCAGCCACCGAACTGAAGGCTCACGGTGGATATGTAATGGCCGCGATGAATGTGGAGCGACAGGAGAACGCACCTGTGCGCAAGCTCTTCAATTTAACTGGTAACTGAACTAAAATATTCGACAATGAATAACTTAATTAATATTGACAACGCTTCCTATCTTTAAGGGTTTCCCACATTAATTTACTTCGAGAATGGAAAGATGCGCTTCACATACGAGGGAGAGAATACCAAGGATGCGTTGGTGGCCTTCATGCTCAATCCAAATCAGAAACCAACGCCCAAGCCAAAGGAAGCTGACTGGTCGGCTGATACAAACTCCGAGATTGTTCATCTGACAACGCAGGGCTTTGAGGCAGTTCTAAAGGATGAGAAATCGGTGCTGGTAATGTTCTATGCACCTTGGTGTGGTCACTGCAAGAACATGAAACCCGAATACGAAAAGGCAGCTCTTGAGATGAAAGAGAAGAATGTGCCAGGCATGCTTGCTGCCCTGGATGCCACCAAGGAGTCTGCCATTGGCGAAAAATACAAGGTCAAGGGCTATCCGACAGTGAAATACTTTTCCTATGGTGTCTACAAATTCGATGTGAATGTGCGGGAGGCGTCCAAAATCGTTGCCTTTATGCGCGATCCCAAAGAGCCGCCACCACCTCCACCGCCAGAGAAGAGCTGGGAGGATGAAGAGGACAGCGCGGAGGTGATATTTCCAAACGAAGAAACGTTCAGCTCGATCCTGAAGCGCAAGAAACATGCGCTGGTCATGTTTTATGCTCCATGTAAGTAATTCGCAATCGCAGCAGTTGGAATTTGTATTATTCTCTTGGTTTTTAGGGTGTGGACATTGTAAGCACACAAAGCCGGAATTCACAGCTGCCGCCAATGCGATGCAGGACGATCCGCGCGTTGCCTTCGTTGCCATCGACTGCACCAAATATGTAGGGCTGTGCGCCAAGTACAATGTGCGCGGCTATCCCACCTTCATATACTTTTCCTACCTCAAAACGAAACTAGACTACAATGGCGGACGAAACAGCGAAGATTTCATAGCCTATATGAAAAATCCACCTAGCCCCAAGGAGCATAGCGAGCTGTGATCTGTCTAAACTACACTGTTATAGAATCTCTTCAAATTATATGTATTAATTTTCTATTTACAATTTATGTCTATTATTTACTAGTCTTTAATATTTCAAAAATAATTTATCTTCGTTTAACAACTTTGCAAGAGTATTTAAGCTTCAGAATATCGAATGTAGATCTTTAAGAAACAACTTTTTACAAACTCAAGATCAAGATAATCTTCTAGTTCTATGCCAATGTTAACCTATGCCTTCAGTTAACCTTTTGTGTATTGTGTAAGCGTATTTCGTATCATTCCCTAGTAAAGCTGAAATATATAATATTTGTAACTATTCTAACACACAAGAGCTAAACTCATAGACTTTTAAATTGTATTAACCCAGGCACCGATATTACTAATATTAGCAGTAAATTTCGGTACATGTTTGATCAAATTTGATTTGTTGACTAGTCCGTTTCAAACAAGGAAACAATTATGACAATCTCTTATCAAAGTAAAGTTCACAACTGAGTCTCACAGATACGACAGCTGTGGACTAGCAATTATACGTCAATTAAACCTCTATAGATTGATTATTGTTAATAGTTGACGTCCACTTAAAATATCGTTATAGTACTCAAAGAATATACTATCCGTAAAGGATACATGTATACAAACATTAATAAAGGTCGTAATAATTTTAAGCTGGCAGCGAAATATTCAGTTCAAATTGTATCCTTTGGTTTGCATTTGCTTAGATCGGTTATCATCTTGTAGGGAGTATCTGCTAGTCGAGCACATGCACATTTTCTCTTGCAGTGATTTGTATTAAGACAATATTCTGGACTTAGCTTGTGAATATATTTGTTTAAATTTATATGTATAATTCAATTAATATATATACAGATATATACATATACAAATACATATATGAATCTATATATCGTATATATATGTAGCAATAATTTATTTCTTTAGTGTGGCACAGAAGATGCAACATTTTAAATGCCTCCAAGTTGCGAATGGTATTTTATTGCACATTTGCATGGATGATGAAATAATTTGTTAAATTCTATAAACTAGATGAGCCCTAATTATTCAATATATTGTTCTTTTTTCTCGTTTTTTGTTTTTTGATTTTTGTTTTTGTTTTGTGTGTGTGTATCTGTATATATACTTCTATGTGAATTACAACATACGATAGGATAAAAAGTTGTATTGCTGTTGGTATTTCTTGCTGCAGTTTGCTTTCTTTTGGTTTTGGGTTTTCCTCGTTTGATTTTCTATTTGTTATAGGTTATTTGCTCTCTGGAGGAACGGCAGCTCGGCGCTGTGGTCAGCGATCGACTTCGGAATCGTTTTTGACCTTGCGCCTGTGACGGCTGAGGCTGCCCAGCCAGCTGCCGCGCTGCTCGTTTGCCGTATACTCATCGTTGATTATCGTAAAGCTATTGAACATGTCTTTCATCTTGATGGCTCGGGAGCAGGCGTAATTTTTGGTAGCCACGTACATTTTGGTAAGGAATTCGGGCATTTGTTTTTGCGTGACCCACGATTTAATGTTCTGCGGAATTGGGATGCCCGGATCGTCGTAATATGTCAACACAAAGTGCAATCCCGGCTCATGGAAGCCTCGAAATGGCTTAATGACCATCAGGCTCCAGTAATCGGTGACACGCACCTTCCCAGATATAGCTGGGTATGTGTTATGCTGGGCAGCGCGACTGCAAATAAAGATTAACTTTTTAGCATCGTCTTTGTAGTAGCGCCGACAATATACGTAGTCCCGGTTGGCAAATAAGCGCGGCCACTGCATCTCCCAGTAGATCAGATGCGAATTACTGTTTGGCGCCGGATCCTCGCTAATAAGCTCAAGTCTCAGCGCCGTATCGTCCCATTGTCGGCGATAGTCCAGATCCGTTTGTACATGCAGAAAATCATCGGCCGTAATATCATCGAATCGTGCATACACCTTGTACGAGTAGAGGGATGAGTGCTCCTCGCGCCGCCAGATGCTGAACTCGTTCTTGCTAAAGTACGGCTCCCAGTTACGCTCCTCCTGGGCCTGAATGCGTATTTGGCCCACAGGCCCACGCGAGTCATAGTCCATTGACTTGTGACAGTTGCTAATGCTCGCTTCATCCTTTCCGGACTTCTGTTCGGCCTTGCCCGGTGGCACGACAGCGCCGCCCTTCTTGCATCGCTGGTTTCCCAGTGTGCAATAGCAGTACTTCATCTTCTTCGCCTTGCAGCGCTCGCACAGCTGATTCACAGGTAGCGTGTTTATGAAATCAATATCTCGTTGGCACAAATCAAAGTTAGCCAGCGACAGCCGCTCTTTGACCCAGTCGAAGCCATCGGCCGTTGGCCGTTTCACATTCAAGCCCATAATGCCCACTGCACTGAGCACCATGCCGCGCAACGGTGGCTGTATTTGACTGCGATAATAGACACGCCAGAGCTGCTTGAGTCCCTGTGTGCCATAGACGTTCTGATAGAACGTGAGCAGCTGTTGCAGCCGGCGCGAGCGCTGGGCGAATATTGACTCGCATTGATAGGTCCATGCGCGCAAGGTTTCTCTCGATTGATTTTTTATGGCTGAAACGAAACGATTGAGCAGCATGGCGACTAGTTAATTGATTGTTATTGCTGAGGCGGCTGCGGCTGCGGCTGTTGGGCTGCACTGCTCAGGTGGGGGGCTGCAGCGCTGCTTGCATAACAATCGGACAGCGGCAGCGGCTGTACTGTTATTGTAATGGTGCTTGTTCCTCCGCTTCGAATTTTGACTCACACACACACACACCTCCTGTCACATTTGTTACCCTCGTTTTCAACTTTTATAATTTTGATTGTTTTTTTTTTTTTCGTTTTGTTCTTTTTGCTTTAATTGTTGAAAATTTTGTTTATTATGTTATACATATTTCCGTCGTTGTTGCTTTGTTATCAAGGCGCCCACATTTTACGTTCAAAACGTGCAGCCTGCAATTCGTATTTGTTGTTGTTGCTCGAATCAGTGCTGGGAAACCTTTGAATTTTGCAACACCGATTACAAGCGGCTCACTACTTTGTCAATATTTGCTCTTTTGGTCGTCTTGCAACAACGAGCTAAACAATTTGTGATTTTGTAGTGAGAAAAAGAGCTCTTTTTCGTCGGAAATTGCTGAACAAACCACTGCAAATGTCATGCAGGCCCTATAAACTATTCAGATAAAAATTAATTCCGATCTAAGCATTGGGTTTACCACTATCGGAAACTAAGACTAAACAAAATTAGATATGATCTTAGCCAAACATTATTCGTTAGCTTTGTGCCACAAAATTGCAAAATATCGAACATAGAATTTTTTCCAAATTATTCAAAAACTAATTCTCAAAATATGATTTGAGTGAAATATATTTTGCTTGACCAGCATACTGTTTACAAATTGATTTAATTTCCATTTGACGTTGTACAGCACTTCTTTGGTCCAATCTCGTGCGCTGCACATTTACATCTGCTTCCATAGTTCATCACACGGCATTTCGCAAAGAATTTCTGTTGCCGAGTAAATGCATAATATATTTATGTTTGATTGAAAATAAAGGCCATGTCTTCACGACGGCAACGTATTAAGGCCACTGCCAACCTGACGCAGATTAAGCGCAAGCCGCGCAAAGAAGACGCCGATCCAGAGGCACGCGTTGAGGCTGAGACACGGAACCACCACCCCATTCCTGTGCCAAAGCATGAGCATGCAGAGGACGATGCAGCTGAAGTGGCCTTTAAAATGCCGGCGGCGAGCAACGCCGGCCAGTTGGACGATGTGTTTCACTCGGATTTGGAGGATAATGTTATACAAATGGATTTGCAGAAAACTGCGAGCGGATTTCCCATGTCGCCCAGCAAGGCGCAAGCTCGACAGCGAGTCCGGCCTACTCCCGTGTTTGGGCAACGTCGTAACAGCTTCGTGGGCTCACCGTTGGCGGCCGATCTCGATGGAGACTACCCATCTCCAGGCACGCCCACGAGGCGTGAGCGCTACTTGAGTGGTTCGTCAATGAGTGGTGTAAGTGGCACGCCGCAGCAGGTGCAGGCTTCGCCGAAGTACTTTCCAGGTGGTGTCATGAGTCCGGGCATGGGCCGAATACGTACGGAGTCCAGTTGTTCGGCTTACTCCGATAGCGGCGGCGGCGTTGGCGGCAAGCAGCGAAAGGGAGAGAGCGACAAGGTGCTTACCCAGGCACAGCAGCGCATCAATGTAAAGCGAGATTTTGAGACGCGATTCAACAAAGGCATCCCGGATAAATCCACATTCAAAATGTTTGACATGATCTTTTACAATCCCGAGAGCAATCCCATGGAGCAGAAACCCCTGATGACTACCATTAAAGCGGAGGCGAATGGCAGCAGCGTCGGCAGTGTGGACGAGTCGAAGCCTACCTCGGATGAGCTGCTGGAGGCCAAGACGGAACTGACTGCCACAACAGCAGCCATGCCTGTGCCGCAATTGAAACTGGACGCCAATGGGGAAATGATAATCGACGAGAAGACTCTGGAGATTGAGACTACCGCCGAGGTGGAGGCACGCAAGGTTTTGGCCAACTCGTCGCTTATTCTCATGGACGAAACAACTGGCGACAATGGATTCTACAAGCGGCACAAGCGGACGCCCACTTGGACACCGGCTGACACTATTCGCTTTTATCGCAGTCTCCAAATCATTGGCACTGACTTCTCGCTCATGTGTCAAATGTTTCCTAAGCGTACGCGACGCGACCTCAAGCTCAAGTACAAGCGGGAGGAGCGTGTCAACGGACAGCTAATCAATAAGGCCTTGCTTTACCCGAAAGCCTTCAATATCCAGGAGCTCAAAAATCAGCTCGAATTGGAGGACCGTGAGCGCTTAAAGCTGCACAGCGAATGGCAGCAAATCGTTTCAGCCAAAGCAAAACACCCAACAAAGGTTTGTCCCTTACCTCCTATGGCCCAATGTTTACTCAAACTGAGCTTATTTCTTTGCAGAAGCGAGCTAAGTCGCAGCAGAGCAAGGCGACGCGCGCGCTCTCCGACGGCGATCTGGTGTACGAGAACGAGCACGTGACAAAGGAAAAACTGGGCAAGCACACGTTGGCCAAACGTCGAGCTGCAATAGAAAACCAAGGCGAAGGTGGAACTGCCAAGCGCAAGCGTGAGCCTTTGAAGTGCCATCAGGTTCAAGGAGAACATCCGGAGAAACAACAACACGAGAAGCAACTGGAGAAGCTACAGGAGACTCTACAGCAGCAGAAACCAGAGAAGTTACTACAGCAGCAACAAGAGACTCTAGAGCAGCAGAAACAAGAGAAGCTACTACATCAGCAACAAGAGAAGCTACCACAGCAGCAGCAAGAAAAACTATTGCAGCAACAAGAGCAGCAGCAACAGCACAGTGTTAAACAAAAGTTGAAGCAAAAAGTGCTTAAGAAGATGCAACCTAATCCAAAGCAACCGGAGGAGTCACAGGATGTAACGGAAGTGGATCAGCCCGTGCCTGTGCATATTTTACGCGTATTTCCAGCGATCAAAAGAGAAAAGGAAATGGAAGCAGAACAAATCAGTAGCGATCCTATAATTGAGACCAAGGCTGAGCAGCTACAGCAGGAGCTTAACTCATTGCTGGACGAGGGACACGGTGAGGGCAGGGGCACTTTGACAAGTGAAAAGGTTGCTGTCGATTTGAAGGAGGGTAGGCCCACCTATGTAAAAGACATGAACACCGCCACCAGGAGCGAGACGGTTTATTCCACCGAAACCAATGCAACATATATTGTTGATTTCATTTCGGAGTCACCTACGCCTGAAGCAGCGGAGCAGAGTATCAGCTTTGGGGAGGAAGTCAATGAACACGATATCGAACAAATCATAACTGAGTTGTCTGAAGGCTCAATGGTGTTGGTCTCTTCATTAGATGCTGACCGGGAAGATCGCGTTATAAATGAGATATATATGTACGATAGTCAGACTGGGGACCTGTCCGAACAACCTTTAAAAATACCTGAGCATATTGTTCAGTGTATATTGAATGTTATGAGCTAAGTTGTTAGTTATTAATTGATATTTGTTGATATGTAATTTATTTAAAAAGTAAAATAAAATCCTATAACGAACCTAGCAGTGTGGCATCGCTGCAAACAGTGTTGGGAAGCGGATCACACAAGTCGTTTTACAGCACTCAACTTGTGACAGCTACCATCTGTGACAGTTGTTGTTGTGCTGCAACCTGCGAATTACAGATTTAATACAAGTTGAGCAACTAGACATGGCCCAAGTTCCCTTGGCTATTGTGTCGCACAAGCGCCAGGTGTGCAGCTTGTACAAACGTGCGCTTCGCAATCTGGAGGCGTGGTATGATCGCCGGTAAGTGCTCGTCGAAACGTTGCAATTGTAAGCCGTTTGATTATATAATAAATTCTGCATCTTCGTTTACATACATCTTCCGCGGAATTAGCGATGTTTACCGTTATCGTGCAGTGCAAATGCGCGCTCGCTTCGATGAGAACAAAAACAAGGATGTGGCCGAGGGCATGCGTTTGCTGGCCAGCGGTCAAAAGGAACTCTTTGAGACAAAGCATTTCCAGCCCCGAAACTGTAAGTGAGAACTTTTGGTTAGACTGGGATCATCCAACACCTTTATTTGCAGTTGCTAACAGTCCTGGCGGCTGTGCTTTCGAGCGTGAGGTCATCCTGCCGGATTGGGTACTCGACTACTGGCATCCTCTGGAAAAGGCACAATATCCGGAGTATTTTGCTAAACGTGAGCAACGCAAGAAGGAATATGTTGCCTGGTGGGAGAAGCAATACGGCAAACCAGACCCCAGCGATGTGGGACATCACTAAACTAGCTTTTAAATAAAGTAGTCAAATCTAAATTGTTTCCGAATTGAAAATACAAATGGACAACCTCAAGCCATCAAGTGGAATGAATACACGTATATCCAGAAGGAAGTGAAAATGAATGCAAATTATTTATGTTGTATCGTATTTATTATAAGCTTGGGGACATTAATATTAACGGTTATAGCTGTACTTAATAAGAATCGGGCATGTCTCAGTTGAGTTCGTTGGCCTCCAGGCGTGGGCGCTTTTTGCTATTGCTGCCATTTGTAGAGTTGTTGGTGTTGTTACTATTGCCGTCGTTGCCATGTTCACGCTTTCGCTGGAGTGTCTTTTTGTCCCACTGTTGCGTTAGATATCTCAGTAGCACGCACCTTTTATCCAACACTATTAGCTGCGCCTGGTCGGGCGCATCCTCTGTGGGCAAATAAACGGAGGCACGCTTTTGCGATGTTCTAATGCCATGATCATTGCTCAGCAGTGTGAAGTTGTTCGAATCGTATATGGGTAAGCCCTTTATAAAATCAATGACGGACATGCTTGTGCTTGCACTCTGTTACTCGTGGGGATGGGCGACACGTTATCCACTCACAGAAGTTGCTTTTTTGTGCGTTCTGTTGTCACTGAGTGCTCAGGCAAATGTGTCTATTTTATATATTATATTTTGAGTAAAATATTGTTGTTTTCTTATCTTCAGTTGCAGTTTCTTAGACCTTTTTTGTGTTGTTGTTTTTGGTGGTTGGTGTTTAGATGAGGTGTGACCGCTTGCGCTTCCAAAAAATGCTGAAATAATAATTTTTAAAATTACTTGTAGTAAAAATACTAGATTTCCGATTTTTTTTTAATTCGTTTTAAACTAATGTTTACTAATTTTAAGATGTCGATTTTTAAATTAGTTAAGCTCAGGACCAAATCGGAATTTACTCAAAGCATTACATTGCATTATTCATTATTTTGATTTTTTAAATAGAAATTATTAACGTTCATGAGATAAGAGTATTTTTTTTTTTTGTATTATTTTTAAGAATGAAAATATGTGCATATGTAATATCACTAACCAGAGCTAGTGGTAATATTAAAAGTATATAATATACATTATTTAACTGTTTGAAGTTTAATATTTTTTATATATTATAATATTAATTCGATTTCATTAAAGTTTAATTTACTTTTTATTTAATTTCAATTATTTATATTTACGCTATAGTTCTGAACAATTCTGAAATCCTCATGATATTAAGTTTCGATCAATGATACGAATTTTATTTCATTTCACAGAATGTTGATTGGATATTGCTCTATCAGTTATCTCCAATCTTATTATTGTTTTTTGTATATCATATATAAGAAAAATTGATCAATTTTGAAAAGTAGGTTACTTAGTTAATATAGCGCATTTTGGACTCCGTAATGAAATACATTTACGTATAGTTTTTGTAGATTTGAAGCTTGGAAGATGCCTACTCTGCTTGTTTTATATATAAAAATACAAAATAATTAATTTTGATCAGTTTGATATTTATAAATGAGTGTGATACGTAGCTTAACTACGATTATGACGATTTCCATCTCCTCGACGGACCACATCCTTGTACTCGTCCATGCGTCGCATACGCGCTAAATACTCTGGATCATCATCCTCCACTTGAAGTTCTATGGCTGCCTTCTCCTGGTCTTCCTTCTCGTTGGGATCTTGTGCGGCAGCAATGGCCTTCTCCTGATTTATCTTAGCCATCTTTTGTTCGTCGGGAAAGATGCCCTCGTCAACGCGCTGCTGATAAAATTCATCGACGGTCATGATCGGTACACTGGGATAGCCCAACCCGAAGACTGCCTTCTGTGTCTCATTGCGTGTTATAATAAATGGTTGTAGCGGCTTTGGTTTCGGGCCTGCTTGATGATGATGGTGATGTCCATGGGAGTGTCCATGTTTGTGACCAATGTCAGAAGCATTCGCCTGCTGATATGCTGTAGGGCTATCTAGAGGCTTCTGCTCGCCGGCTTGCATACGTGCTAGGCGCATCTTAGCCATTTCTTTCATCATACGAAGACTCTCCAGCTCCTGCTTGGATTCCATGATGCTCTTATCTAAATATTTTAAAAAGAATTCACGCCGGACTTCATCATCGACCGCTTTCTTCTTAACAGCATCGCGCATCCTAGTCATATACTCGTCGATTTCCTTCATCTTCCGATATTGTGCAATTTTATCGTTGCGATTGTATGCAGCCTCTATCAGTTCGCGTTGTTCGCTTTTCTGCTGCGCAGCATCCGTCTTTCCATCCTGCTGCGCCTTGCTCTTGGGCGCTTCACACAGCTCGTACTCTTGGCAACGTTGCAGATGGTCTCTAAAATAGACTTCACCTAGCTCTATGGCTTCTATACCATTTGGATTGTTGATCTTCGTGGTGAGTTTACCCAAGAAATATGGCAAGAGCATGAAGGGCAGCGATTCTGTTGATACCTCGTCAATCAGTTCATTGGGACTGAACATGCCCACTTGATTGACAATGACAGTCGCTTGTTCGAAATAACCCATTGCTTCTTTTACTTTACTCTAAATAAAATATTAATATTTGTCAATGCTTGTAGAACACTTGGACTTGCCATTCTTACCTGAAATGGAGCGCCATTGAAAGGCAGATCGGTTACCTCCAGCTCGTCAAAAAGATTCCATCCACTTAAAAAAATATCTGAAAGTTTCTTTTCCTCGCCGTCAACGACATCTGGAATGGCTTCAGCCATTTTTAAATTGAGTAATTAATTTTTGATTTTCACAATTATTCGCAAGCCGCTTGTATCAGCTGATTGTTACAGCTACAGTGCTGCTAAACAAATAATGTGTTGTCAGTGTTGTACAATACACAAATATGTAAGGTAGACATGGAAATGTTCGGTATACAATTAAACAATTCTATAACGACAGACACTAAATTATATTAGTTTCACATAATCTTTAAGACAGAAATCTTTCCATTTATTTTAACCTGTCAAAGACTCTTTTATTTAGGAATATAAAAGTTTTTGGACATTGTAAATTTGTGAGAAGCGTTAGTTGTTCCAGATTTCATTAGGCTAATGAGTGGATGGATGACTTGAAATGTTTAGCCTTTTAGTGACGCTTCAAGTTCGTTGTTCGCTAGCAGTTCCTTGATAATATCCAAGCCACCAATAAGTTCTCCTTTTACATAAACTTGCGGATATGTTGGCCAGTCTGAAAATGTCTTCAATCCCTGACGAACCTCTTCATCAGAAAGAATATCAAAAGTTTCATACGGCAAACTGAAATATCTCGAAATTAAATACTGTCCACAAATGTACAATTAGTGCATACTTTGTTTCGTTAATGATAGCAATCAGCTGCTTTGAGAAGCCACAGCGTGGAGCATTTCGATCGCCCTTCATGAATATCATCAGCGGCGCTTTATTGATTAGCGCTGTCAAACGATCATTCAGGGTTTGTCCAGTTGCCGCAGCGCTGCTTGCACTTTCGGCTAGCTTCTTGGACTTGCTGGTAATGGCAGCAACATCCACACCATCCACGCGATCCACAGCCGAGCCCTTGTTGAAGAATATTACTGTCGGTACTGCCTCGATCTGGAAATACGTTTTGTACAGACATCTCATTAGACGTCAGAGGTGCAGAGAACTTACCTGATGTTTCATTGATATTTCAGGGTACTTTTCAGCATTTAGCGTGATGAATTGTAACTTATCGCCCAAAATGCTGTCCAGCTCTTTGAGCACATCGGTAACTTGAGCACATTGCTCGGCCCAGTCGGCAGCGAAAAGTGCAACAGTTGTTTTATCAGCGCTAATGTATTTCTGATAGTCTTCGGAGTTTTCTACAGTTAACACAGGCATTTTTATGATGAGGTTTAATAATGTTAACTTTTTAAAGCCAATTTAGATGGAAATGCTACTTAGAATGTCAGCTGGTAAAAAGTGATGCCCAGCAACGTTTTATTTTTTCAGTATTTAAAGCCGGTAACAATATAAACGTGACAAAAAATAGGTAAATCACTTATATTGATGTATATGAATAAAATGATTTTGTAAATAATTTGTTTTAAGAAAATAGTTTCATTTTAAATTCACAAGTTAAGAATTGCAAATATTTATCGAAACCACAAGTGATAATTGATTTTTTCTTTACCGCCTTACGTCACAAAAGCATAAATATATGAAGTTGTTTATATGTACAATATTAAACAGCATAATCTATGAAATAAATTTCAGATTTATAATTTTCTAATGAAAAGATACAAAATTTTGTCATATGACAATATGCTAAAACAGTTTGTACAGATTTCATCATGCAACCTTCTAGTACTTGCAATATTGAACGTATGCAATTCTAACAAGTGTTGCAAAATGTGACAGATAGAGCTTCAAATGGTAATCGATTACAGCGGGACGCACAACACGTGCGCCCACCTCTCTCTCGTAGCAACCGCGTTCAATACATACCAGCGGAATTTGAGAAAAACTTTGTCGTTTTGTTAAGAATCAATAATGGTCACAAAAAAGAGGCCAATAAAGCGCAGCGCTGAGGTGGCTGCAATTGACAAAGGCAACGGAAGCGAAGATAGCAATGGTGCATCACAGGCCAAGGTGCCAAAGGAGTTGCTTGTGATTGCGCAGGAGGTGAAAATCGTGCGTGCATTGGCCTGCAATGACTTAACAAAGCGCAATCGTCAGATCCGCAAACTGAGAAAATGGTTCCAGCTGCGAGCGGCGAGTTCGTTTCCCTTCACCGAGGACGATTTCATGCGGATCTGGAAAGGACTGTACTACAACGTATGGATGTCGGACAAGCCGCTTGTGCAAGAAGAGCTAGCCGAGCAACTGGCTCAAATGATAGACAGCTTTGGTGGCAACACTGCTTGTAGTCTGGCGTACTTCAGCGCTTTTATGCGCACTATGTGCCAGGAATGGTTTGGTATTGATCAGTGGCGAATGGATAAATTCCTGATGCTTGTGCGTCGCATGCTGCGCTACATGCTGCGCCTACTCAAGAAGAGCAAATGGGACAAGGATCTGATAGAGGCATTTAATACAAGCATGAATGAGTCAGTGCTTGCGGCGCAGCCAAAGTCTCGTGGGATTACTATGCACTACATGGATGTGTTTTTCGAGGAGCTGGCCAAGGCAGCCAATGAGGAGATCACTGCTGACCAGGTTAATCTCTTCCTGCGCCCGTTTGTACATTATGTGGGCACACAACGTGATGCCAAATTGGTGGCGCAGTGCCGCACGCGCGTTCTCTATCACTTGCTCTACCAGAGTGAACTGGGTCGAGAGTACAGCGAGAAATACAAGGCATGGAAAGAGATGGGTTTTCCCAGCAGCTCCATAGACGACGTGGAGAAAATGGACTCTGGCTTCGATGAGGAGGAAGAGGATGAGGAAGAGCAGCAGCAAGAAGCCCCCACTCTCGATCCACGTGCAGGAAACGTAGATGTTCTGATGCCAGAACTACCGCTAAATGCCGACTGTGTGCTGGACGAGCTTCAGACACTGCTTCGCACACAGGACTACAACAGCAAGCGGCGCAAGGGACTGCGGAAGCTAGTTCACATTTTCGAGACGTACGCAAGCGGCGAATTTCCATTGGGTGTGCGCAACATGCCAAAGCCCGAAGGCACACCATTTGCAGAGCTCGTGGAGCAGAAGATCCGCGAGGCCGATGAGTTTGAGGAGTCGAACTTTGGCACTGTACGTAGTCTCAAAAAGCTTAGCAAATCCAAGCGTAAGCGTCTTCTTAAGTCCATCAACTTCGATGAGGTTGACGAGGACAACTTTGACGAAGTCATCAAGAAAGCATTGTCTCCAAAACTACAGAAGCAAGTCGAGCACAATGAGAAGGTACGATCCAGCATTAATAATGCCTGGGTGGTGGAGGAGGTGGATGCGGCGGAAAAGACTACGGCTGCGGCGGATAAGACAGACAAGATTAAGAAAGTCCCCAAGGACAAGGATGAGCAGCCCAAACAAAAGGTCAAACAGCAGTCCAAGTCATTATCTAATGAACAGCCAAAGGAGCAATCCAAACAGCAGCCCAAGGCACAGTCCAAGGAACAGGCCAAGCAGCCGGCCATTGAGAAGACAAAAGTACCACAACCCGAACAGGAATCTGCCACAGAGGAAGAAACTAAAGCAGCTGAGTCCACGACGAAGTCTAGCAACGGCTGGGACGCACCCTTGGAGGATGGCGAAAGGGATTACTTTGTGCCATCGCGCAAATCACAACTGAAGCAAGCCAACAGTAAGCTCTTGATGAATCCGCTCGCTGTCCAAGGAACTCCCAAGAATCCAGCACAACGACTAAAATCAGCAGCAGCGCCACAGACGGGAAGCGGCAGCAAACGAGTCCGCATCATGACGAAGTGCAACAGCGCCTATCCCAAGAGCGACTACTATCGACAGTTGAAACTATCGCCGCAGCTGCCCTACGATGCGAACCGGCAGCCCGGCAAAAGCGCCCTCAAGCCGCACGTGCTGCCCGGGCCCATTCATCCCAGCTTCAAGAAAACCAAACGTCTGTTCAACGATACGCTGTGACGTTGCTTAAGCTGGCTGGGACTGACGCAGGACTGAATGAGCTGACCAACCGGGACACCTACAAGCCCCATCAGACGAGAAATTCGTGTGGGCCCACTCTATCGGATGATAAGTTCGAGCATCGACTTAGCATAGTGAATACGCCATTATGTGCATCAGATATTTTTTCATAATATACCCTATATATAGTATGCTTTTTTTTTGTTTTGCTTGTAGACCAGATTTTATCGTTCAATATGCGACACATTTGGAATTCATATATAAAGTGGAATAAAAGTAAAATCAAAAGACAAACTGCAAATTGAATTGATCAGAGCCCCGCACAGTCTTCGATCTATGTAATATGCAATATGTAGATGGATTTCATTTTAATATTTTGGAGCCATATTCGATTCATATACAATTTTATAAAATGCAACAGATGGATTAGTGTTTAAATCCTCAGCCAATTGATATACATACATAAATATATAAGTATGTATTACCTATGTATGTTGTTTTTGATCGTAGAGGTACAGTCAATAAACTTGAGTGGTAAAAAATTACAGATGAGTGAAGAACAAACTTGTAAAACATGTTTATAGAACCGTTAGTAATCACAGGCATTAAAGGATAATATTGCACTAGTTGGCACTGCCTAGGAAACACTGAACTCTGCTCAGAACAGCCCTTGCAATCATTCTGCGATTCTTGAATATAGTCGTACACCCACTTCACACATTATATAAGACTGAATGGTAAATTCATTGTATAAATTTAGTTCTATATTCACATTCTTACTGAAATCTACAGTGTGTGTTGGATTAACTAAAGCAATATTCTACTTTTTGCAATATTCTACTTCTGAAACATTCACAGCCTATATATATTTATTTCAAGATTGCTTTAGAAATTCCATCGTTAATGGTAATTACATAAATTTGCAAAATTATAAAATATTCTCGAATCGTCCGATATTAATATATGAACAGGTCATTCGTTGTCATTTACATAGAGACTTATAAATTACAGTTGTCCAATTATATATACATAGATCATAACAATTTACCTGGAAAAATTAAAAATCTAGGTACTGGTACTATCGAGAGGGGTTGTCAACTGCCTAATTTTTTGCCTTTATATTTAACCATATAGATCATTTCCACATATATATGTATATCGGTAATTTTTATAAAGAATATCTCCAACTCTCTCTCTCTCTCTCTCTCTCTCCATGTACCTTAAACCATGTAATGTCTTATGTCCAGGTCGCGTTCCCTCAACTTTTGATCGGTAATTTTTATAAAGAATATCTCCAACTCTCTCTCTCTCTCTCTATGTACCTTAAACCATGTAATGTCTTATGTCCAGGTCGCGTTCCCTCAACTTTTGATCAATCCAGCGCCTGTAGTACTTCACGTTTGAGTAGATGCTCAAGAGCTGAGGTCCATCGCAACGGGCGGCACGGGCCAGCAGCCCGGCCAGCACATAGCGATCATCGCTGCCGGAGAGAGGGCACATTAGGGGTACGGCACCCATGTCGCCGCAGACAATGGGGTCCTTGTCGCCGCCAGTGCAGAGGAGCGTATCGTTCAGCGCAAAGCGACGACCCAAGATGGCCAAGCGCAACTTGGAGCCACACTGGTCGCGCGGCAGAATGTAGAGGGGCCAGCGCCTGGGCAGTGTCTCATTTGCACTGGGCTCCGAGTGCCGCCAGCCCGCCACGTAGCACTGGCTGTAGTTGTAGATGAGCTGCATGGGCGGCAGGCAGATCACCTGCACGTGAGGGGCTAGCTCGAATGCCGCCTGTGAGTGGAGCAGCAGCAGTGCCAGATTGTGAGCTGCGGGGGATTGCGTGTAGTTGGGATGAATTAGCAGCTCGGACACATTTCGCTCCTGGTGCGCCAATGGCTCCAGCTCAACTGCTGCATCCCATTCGCCTGCCACCAGACGCAGATCGGTTGCCATTTGGGCCTGGACGCAGTGTGCGGCGGTTAGAACAGCAAATGGTGTGATTAGTGCTCCACTGCAAAGGTATCCATCTGCTCCATAGATCGCCACCAGCCAGGGAAACTCGCCGAACTTTGATTCCTGCTTCTTGTATCCCATCGGGCGCAAATGGAGCCAAAGATCCAGACGCCCGCCACACTGAGGCAGTGCTGTTAGTGCATCGCTATAGTTGAACCCACTACCAACTGCAAGCTGAAGCTCGACTTTAGGCCAGATTCATGGCATAAGGGTAGCGACTCTACCTACCGTCTTGTTCAGACTGCAGCACTTTTCCATATAGTGACAGTGCTGCTCGTCCTGCATAGTGCGACTGCGATCGGAGTAGAAGTGGCCGTCCACAAGGAGACCCTCATTGCACAGGTCATGGGAGACGCAGCTCTTGCCGGGTGCACAC